CCTATTCAGATGGGCCTCTCCCTTAATATTGGTAGAAATATTTTTCAATTCTCCACTCCCTCTTCCCATATTTTATGAAATATATAGCACTGGCTGAGGTTATTATGGGCCTCCTCCAAAAATTATGATGCTGTTGATCATTCTTAATTGGACATCTGAATGTTGTTTTGCAGATATGTCAGCCAGAGCATTCTACGAACCCATTCTTGTTACTGACTTTGTTGCAAAGTATTTCAATGTTAAGGATCTGATAAGGCCTCTATCCGATCAAGAATGTCTTAAGGTATTTTTTGGTAGCTATACCTCATGACATACAGTAGGATTTTATATTAATTTGTTGAAAAGTGAATACTAAATATTTTAGGCTGAGATGGAACAAAACTGAGGGTTACGATATAGACTGAAGGTGAAGAAATAGGATTTCCATGACTAGATGCTATTCTTATAAGCATTTTACTATTTTTTCTTTTGGGTGGTAGTGGTTGTATTTCTGGTCAATATTAATATTTCAGGTTTAATGTTTTCTCTTTCCAAATTATTGGAACTGATTTTGTTTGTTATTATCAAGTCAAGAGAGCTCTCAGAGGCATTAAGGTTGAACTTGCTCACAAGAAGCATGTTCAGTGCCGTAGAATTTCAGGCTTGTCAGTTCAACCAACCAATAAGTTAATGTAAGTTAATAATCAGTATTATTTCTGTATGTGTTACACTGACATGTTTACTACATGATGAAGTGCTCTTTGTTTCCTCTAGTACATTTATTTAACACAATTGTGTCGTCATGTGAGGATATAACAAAAACAAAGAAGCACACAACTTGTTCTGCTGATGTTCTGTATCAGATTTAACAAAAACAAAGAAGCACACAATGAGTGGGAGTTAGATCAAATGGCCACTAAATTTGTTTATGCTATTAGAGCATTATTTATTTAATTTTTCATGATTCTCATATGTGTCTGTATTGTCTTTGGGTATGTCCTTTTCTTTATATGTATTTAGTGCTTCTTGGTATATGATAAAATCTTCTTGTTAGCGCTTCTTCAAGTTTTAAGTACTGTTTATAAGTATTGGGTACAAATTCTTCAATTTGTGTTTATTTTGATGAATCTAATTGCAGTTTATGTTCTGATGCAGGCATGTAGACCAGTGAAGACTACAAGTGTAATGCTAAGACATGATTTTTGGATATATGTTAGTTTGTGGTTAATGTTAAAACATGATTTTTGGATTTTGGATATTAGATATGTTAATTTTGTGGATAATGGTGATTGGATATTAATTGATTGAGAAAGTGAATTAATGCTTCATTACAGCTATTTGAATGGGAGTTATTATTTTATGTCAGTGCTATTACAGGAATTTTTTTAGTTCAATCAAATAAAATTAGCACAATTTCAAAAAAAAAGAAAAAAAAAAGAGGGATATGACGGCGTTTCTACAAACGCCTCTTAAACCCTACTTACTAACGATCATATTTTAAAAAAAGATATAATGATCCAAAACGTTGTTAAATATCATCAGTGACGTCAGCATGTCTTTAGGAGGACATTTGGTGGCGTTTTTAAAAACGCCGCCTATACTAATATCACGACGTTTTCAAAATGTCACAAAGTTATAGCGACAGCCGCATCTTCGGCGTTTGGTGCTAAGCGTCGCAAAAAGAATTAGCAGCGTTTTTGGCACTTATAACGGCGTTTTTTAAACGCCACTAAAAGTCTATTTTCCAGCAGTGACATAAATATTTTTGCATCATTTTCTCAAAAATGACATACTTTTAAAAATTGCGTGAGTCAATTCAAAAATTGTAAAATATAAATCAATATTAACGTCGAAACAAATGGACATATGTCTATTTAGCACAGTGAAAGGTAACATTTCTATATAACAAATTTCACAATTTTGTAAATTCTGTTGAAACATTTTACAGAGAGAGAGAGAGAGAGGCAGAAGCGTAACAACGGTTAGAAGAGCTTCGCAAAACCAGCAACCATTCCCAACCAGATGACACTGATGATGATGATTTTGAGCTCTATTCACTTGTTTGTTTGGTTCCAATCAATTTTTAAAAATTTGAATTTTTTATTTTTATCATTTTTTTTATTTGTATTGAATTTTTTTTTAATATTTTAAACAAATTTTTTACACTTAACATAAATAAAATTTAAAAGTATAATATTTGTGAAAAATAATTTTTAACAATTTATAAATATCAAAAACAAAAAAAAAAACGAAATTTCAATATATTTTTGTATTCTTGTGTATTTATTAATTTTTTAAAAAAATATTTTTTTTACTATATTTTATGTAAATCTAAGTTAGGTGTATTTAAAAATTAAAAAAAATTTACTTAAAATATTAAAACAAATTCATTAAAAATTAAAAAAATATGAAAAATAAAAAATTAAATTTTTAAAAAATTAAATTAAGTAAATTAGAACCAAACAAGGTGATTCTTTTTCCTTTCTGTTTTTTTGGACTCTGTGTTTCTTGTGTACTCACGTCAAAGAATAATGCTATATACACCAATTTATGTACTAATTAGTGCATCAATTGATGATGTGGCATAATTTAAGAGGTTTTTGATATTTATAATGTAATTAATGAGTGGGGTCAATAATAATGTTATAATTAGTGTTGGTATACTAGTTAGTACACTAATTGGTGCATGTAGTACCACTGCACGTCAAATGTAAGTTAAAAGCATTTGCTATGTTTAATCATATTCACATCTCAGGAATTTGAGGGTTTGGAAGATTTATCTTAAGTCTTATTTCAATAATCTAAATAGTTTACTTTTGTAATACTTTTAACAAAATCACTTTATCAAAAAAAAAAAAAAATTCCCGAAATGTACTTTTGTGGAAATGGCGCCAAAAAAAAAATAAAAAAAAAAAATAAAAAAAAAATCAAATTTGGATATCTACTCCCAACTTATCCTATGACTGGAATAGAATTTCCCTTAGTATATAAAATCTCAAAATACATAAATCTCACACATTATGTAAACATCATGCACATATCTATAGTCTGATGGTTTATTGCAAAGAATTTGAAATAACATTGTCATATTTATAAAAACACAAATCTATCAAATTTCACAAACCCAAATCTATTTAACCCTTCAACAAAATACACATATAGCCCAATCACATCTAATAAAAATAGGGAATAAATCAAAGGCATATTTATATAGTCTAGTAATTCATTTCAGAGAATTTGAAGCTAGCCCTAAGGTAAGGCGAGTAAGGTCATCACTTTGGGCTCTTAAATTTTGTCTAAAAAATAGAGTCCTGAAATAATTTCAATCTTACGATATGTTTGGTTAATTATTTTGGTCATAAGTTATGTTTGGTTTATTAAAATAAAATTAAATAGAATAATCATTCTATCATAATGTCTATTTTCACATTTAATTTACTAAAAAGGATTACAAACGAAATCATCATTTAAAAATGTAGATTATTTAAACAAACAATTGAGCTGATTAATTATTTAAAAATAATAGGTTGTTGCTCGCCAAATGTGTGAATTATTATATAGAATATTGTTTGATTATATGAGTTACAATTATTTCTATAGAAATAATTTTTTAAAGTTGAAAATAATCAAATTTTACAATTTAATTTACTACGTCAGGAAAAAAATGTGAATAAAATAAGAGTGTTAACAATTGAAAATGTTCAAAATTTATCTCAATAATTATGTATACCATATGCAACAAATTTATAGAAGGTACAAGAAAAAGAATAAAAATAAATTGAAAATTGTTATTATTTTACCAATTTCAAAATATATATGAGAGTCAAGGTTCATCTTCTGAATTCGCGTTAAATCCCGACAAAGTTAAGGTCGGCCTGACTTTCATGTTTCTAAAAACATACCAACCCAAACCCATCAATTGATCAAAATCTTTAGCAAAATAAAAATTAAAAAAAAAAGAAGATAAAAATGTAAAAAGAAAATAAACATATATACACGTCCCAATCTCAAATAATAAAATTGGGGACTAAACCAAAAAGGATTAAACCAAAAGGACAAACACAATACATGATATGACAAAGTAATTCATAAAAGGAGGGAGTGTTTTTCATTTAAAAAAATAATAAAAAATAAAAAGAGTGAAAATGTAACATTTCGTATTCCTTGGATTAGTGGGATTTCTCTTCACTCTCTTATTATTGTACTTAGAGTCTTTTTGATTGATATTGGAGTATTGATTGGGGTGGTATCATAATGGTAAAGGTGATTAGTATTCATTTATTATTCACCCACTCCAATTATGTTGGAGGAGGATTCTTTTCAATTCATAATTTGAATTGGAGAGCATTGTTTAAACTCGTGGGAATTACCATGAGTTTTATTTTGATAATTCAAATTATTTATTTTGTTGAATATTTCATGTATTTAATCCATACAAAAAATTAAGCTGATCCGATAATTGTAATATATTCAATTTATTAGATTTGACACCAAAAATTTGGACAACAATCTTGTGTTTTGAAAAATAAATTATTTATTTTTTTGGTGAGAAATTCAATAAATTAAATATATTATAATTAGTAGATCAACCCAATTTTTTTATGTGAAAGAAATAAACGAAATAAATACATGATAGAATAACCAATTCGAATTATTAAAATAGAATACATACGGGCACATGAATCCAAACGGTGCTCCTATTTTAAAATAGACTATTTGAATTTGATTTTGTCAGGCACTAGGTGAGAGTTATGTTGGCAAAATAACTCTGAGCAATTCCAAATTAAAGGGCAAATTACATATACCCCTTGAGGTTTAGCTAAATTACAGATATTCCTGGGGTTTGAGAAATTACGAATTTCCCCCTGAATGTTATATTTGCATAAGAAATTAGGGGGTAATTTGTTATGAAATATAAACCTCAGGGGGCAAATTGTTATGAAAATACAAACCTCAGGGGGCGGGATGTAATTTCCGAAACCTCAAGGGATATCTGTAATTTAACCAAACCTCGAGGGGTATATGTAATTTGCCCCAAATTTTTAAAATATAATCCCAGTAGCAGCAGCTTCACCTAAACAGTAGTACACAGCATCATCAAAATCAAAGAAAAGTAGCAACATATTCTCTCTCACTGAAATAACTTCTGCCTTCATAACAGAAAATCACAAAGCAGAGCCACTAGCAAAATCAAAATCCTTAACATCGTTGCCTACCCAATCTCACAGCTCCAAAACAAACAATTCCCAAGGCAGTAGTGCCCGAAGGCTGAGATTATAGATCGCCACAAATTCTACAACTCCTCAGATGACGACCTAGATTGTAGACTTTTTTACTCGCGGGACGTACTGCAGATGCATTTCCGGGAACAACATTTCCATATAGGGAGAATTGTTGGGATGCTTCTTCACTAGTTGATTGGCTACTCTTCTCTTCTTGCTCCTTGTACACAAGATGGACTCCGACCTCCTTTACATGAAAATACCCATTTCCAACCACTGAAATATTCAGTTCATCGCCACATTCCAACTGATTTTCAAACTTCGAATAGCTTAACATCATCATATCCTCATCAGCTTCTGGAATGCCAAAGACAAATTGGGAATGATTCCAAATAAAACTCTTGGTCGAATTACTAATAATGGTATGTGTGACGCAATCAGACGGATGAAACCAATCATCTTCTTTTCGATTATTGGAAAGTGCATAAATAGAACATACAATCAAGCATCGGATTCTGAAATTAAGATGCGACGGCACAGTAAATGATATTGAAGATCCTTCATTTTTAAGATTAAACCAGTCTGGAACCTTGCTTCCTAAACAATAAGCATAGAATATGTGTTTTTCATGACATCCCTGTGCGACATAAAGCATAATTAATTTAACGATTATATATATATATATTGTGTGTGTGTGTGTGTGTGTGAGAGAGAGAGAGAGAGACAGAGAGAGACCTGTAGGGGAAGCTTCCATGGATTCACTGAGTTCGGGCCGCAAAGCCTAACAGTTTGGCTTCCCATGGATCCTAAGTTGGACAAGCCCAAATTGTTAATTATCTCCATGTCAATATTTCCTAAAGGTTCAAGCTTGAACCTTCCCATAATCTCAACTATTTTGTGATTCTCGCCCCATTGTATTCGATTTGGATGCAAAAAACGAGTGCCTTGATTGCCATATATGTCATTATATTCTATGGTTGGAAAGGTTACTTTCTCCAACAATGTACATCCTTCGAACCGTAATTCTTCCAGTTTCTGCGACACTTCAAGTGATCGGAGCTTTGTGCACCTATCTAAACTAAGGATCTGGAGTCCAGTATGACCTCTGATGCAATTTGGGAGGCTACGAATTGCATTACAACTCAGATTTAAAATTTGCAATGAGCATAGGTTGCCAAGAACCATAGGAAAATCATCATCTGATAAATTACAGTTCTCAAGACTCAAGTGTACCATGCACCGTGGTAAAAGAGCCCATGAAATTTCCATGCTTTTTCTTGGCTTCAACAGACAGGGATAGATGAATGAATGCCATGATTTGACCTCCTTACTGGTAGAGAGTAATTGACTTATGGAAATTCCACTTGCATGGAGAACTGTTAATGACTCCATAGTCTCTATTCCTGTTGGCAGTTCCTCAAGATTTGAGCAACCTGAGATGTCAAGTGTTTTCAAAAACTTTAGCATACAAATGCTTCTCGGGAGCATCCTCAAATTTTTGCAATCTTTTAAATTGAACAAAACAAGTCTCTCAAGGTGTCCAATGGATTCATGAACCTCAACTAGCCTTGCACAATTTTTAAATATCAACTTCTCTAGATTGGGGACTTTCGAGAAGTTGGGAGTTTTAGTAAGGCAATGGGAATGACTAAGATCAAGGATTTTTAGTGACTTGAGAAGCTGTAAAACAAGAAAAAAGCTGCTATTAATATTTCTTTCAGTTTTCACACGAAATTAAAAATATATATACATTTGTAACTTACCTTTTCTCCTTCCCAAATTATTTGCAAGCTACTATAACTCATGTCAAGAACAATCAGGCTCTCCAAAGGAAAATCACAAGGTATAAATTTGAAAGGGAATCCATGCCAACATAACCATCGTAATCCTTTAGGAAAATTTTCCAAGCTTCCACTTATTTGTACATAATTGAGCTGCAAAAGTTTTAGTTTATGCATCCTTGCAAATGCATCAACTTCCAAAGTTATTTGATTTGAATTTCCTAGAGCAGTGCCTACATTCTTGGGGGAGAACATGCCAAAACAGTATCTTTTAAATGAGTTGCCTACATTTGTTAAAAATGGTGTGTCGAGGAATTCATCATAATGACGTTTTCTATTAACACCAAAAATTGTCCTGTCATGTTTATCTTTCTGGAGCAAATTCGTATCAAGTGTGAGGCCTTCGATTTTTCTTGTCCCCTGACAATGAACAAGAGGAGGGAAATATTTATCAATAAGAGTAATGCTATAAAAATATAATTTTTGCAAAGATCAATCATACAAAATGATGTGGCCTTTTTCAAATAAAAACAACAAAAATGAAACTGATAATTTCAAAAATCCAATTGCCCTATTATCCTAGATGATATACATCCATATATATATATATATATATATTGTTGAATTACACTATTAGTCCTTATAGTTTAAGCGAAGTGTTATTTTAGTATCTATAGTTTCAATTTGAATCATTTGATCCCTACACTTTCAAATTTGTTGCAACGTAGTCCCTTGTTACTTACCGTTAGAATTTGAAACAGAAAAAGACCATATATAAAATTAGAGGGACCAAATTGAGATTCAAAACAAACTACAATGACCACTGGTATAATATACCAAATTGGAATTCAAATAGACTATAGGGACCATCGGTGTAATGAATATATTACACTGGTGGTCATTGCAATTTGTTTTGAATTTCAATTTGGTTCCTCTAGTTTTGTATATAATTTTTTTCCATTCAAAATCTTAACAACACATGTTGGAGAGACCACATTGCAAAAAATAAAAAATAAAAAAATTGTAGTGACTAAATTGTTCAAATTGAAACTACGAGAATCAAATAAAACTTCGATTAAACTAGAGGAACCGGTGGTGTAATTTACCCAGTTTCTTTTATTCTATTATACAAAGATTTTTCTAGATCATTTTTCCGATATAAATAGCAGAACTACATAAATAAATAGAAATAAAAATGAAAAGCAACAAGGTTAACACTTACAGTATTTTCTCTCAAAACATTCAAGGAATCCTTGTGATTCCAAAGTCTACTACGTTTTCCTGGCTCCTTAGGTGATTCTTGCTGAACAATTTCTCTTCCCATTTCTTGAACCAATTGATGCATCACCAACTTTTTGCTTTCATCAATTGTTAATAGACATCTATCAATGAGATTTTGAATCCCAACCATTGTGTAAAAATCACATCCATCTAGAATTGTAACTACCCAATCTTCATCCATCCCAACAAAGAAACAAGCAACATGGAGGAATAAATTTTTATCGTGGTCATCTTGTAAAGAGTCATAGCTTATTTTGAGTTTTCCAAGGATTTCATAATCAGGAAATGCTTTCAATTTTTCCAATTGACTTTTCCAGATATTTAAACTTTTTCCAGATAGAGAAGAACCCAAAATTTTTATAGCTAAAGAAACAAGCAACATGGAGGAATAAATCTTTATCGTGGTCATCTTGTAAAGAGTCATAGCTTATTTTTAGTTTTCCAAGGATTTCATAATCAGGAAATGCTTTCAATTTTTCCAACTGACTTTTCCAGATATTTAAACTTTTTCCGGACAGAGAGGAACCCAAAATTTTTATAGCTAATGGAAGCCCTCCACAATAGTGTACCACCCTCTTTGAGTCCTCTATAAAACCATCAATGGGACAATTTTTCCCAAAGGCATGCCAACTAAAGAGCTCTAAGGATTCATCATTATCCAATTTTCCAACCTTGTGCACCTGACAAACTTCATGAGCCTTGAGCAATTGCTCACGCCTGGTGGTTATGATGATTTTACTACCTTGAGAAAGCCAGTCTCTCATTCCAAGTATCGCATCCAATTGATCTGCTGTATCCACATCATCAAGGACTACAAGAACTTTTTTGCAACATAATGCATTTTTAATCTTTACAACTCCTTCATCAACACTGTACAATTTTTCCTTTCTTCCCTTTAACATATCTGAAAGAAGTTTTCGTTGTAATCGAAGTAAACCATCTTGTTGTTTTAAAATTTCTCTTACATTTGCAAGAAAACTGCTACCTTCAAATCTTGAGAAGTTCAAATTATATAGTACTTTGGCGATGGTTGTCTTCCCTATTCCACCCATCCCACAAATTGCGACTATACCAACATCACTAGACTCATCTTGTAACCAAAGCCCAATGTTTTCGGCTCGAGAATATATTCCAATCAAGTGGGGGGCAATACCCAAGGTTGTGCGACTTCGTTTGTCTCCAACCACTTTCACAATTTTCTGGATAAACTTTGACTCAAGTCTAATTATCAGATTAAGATGGAAAATAAAGAACAATAAGAATGCCATCAATTGAATTTAATTGCTAATTCTCATGCAATATTGAACCAAAAGACCATGCTACTGTCTTTGTTGAAACAAGTGGAAGAGTCTTAGATGAAAAGAAAGGGTTTTCACTATCATGGTTTTGAAACAATACTCTTTTATCTAATATAAATTGTTCTGTTTTTCAATTTTTGATTAGTAAGCCAAGTTGTTGAAACTTTTAAACAATGGGCGAAATTTCAATAAAATGTTTGTGAAAAGAAATGAATAGCTACTTATGATCTTTTCATATAACTTGAAAAGAAGGAGCATCTTAAAAAAATCATGAGTTAATAAATTCAACTTGTTTTTTTTGAAAACTGACTTGTAGGATGCTTTTGTGTTTGAAGGTTATCTTACAAAAACTAAACTATGTAAATCTGTCATAATTAACAAAACAATTCATTCCAAAATTTGAACAGATAATTCTTCATTCAAAAGGCCCTAGTATGAAATATTTTAATCTACGAAATCCAAAAAATGGTGATATAAGTAATGCTTAGCTAAGAAAAGGACTTGGGAGGAAATTACCCGTCAGTTTGATTTTGTAAGTTCATCCCTGCCAAATCTGCAGCTTCTCTAAGTGCTGCCTTCCATTCTTTCACTTTGCCCATCCATTCAACTTTTCTTTCACTCGCTTCTGCGCGAAATCTCTCTTCATGCCTTGTAAATGCTTCTTTGAAACTTTTCTTTTGATTCCTCACATGAGATGGATCCACATGATAGAAAACAGGTAGAACTACATGTCCAACAGTCCTCCTGCGTTCGAGGATCATGACAAGTTCATCGAGACACCAACTTGAAGATGCATAGTCCTCCGAGAAGACAACTATTGAAATCTTCGACTCTTGAATTGCTTTGTTCAATTCGAACTTAATATTCTCCCCTCTTTCAATTCCATCGTCATCTCTGAAAGTACGAAATCATGTAGAGGTGATCAGTGAAAGTCTTGCGAGTATCTTCACCTCTAAAGCTCAAGAACACATCATAACTACAATGACCCACCTTCATTTGTTTAATTTAAACCAAAATGCCCTAAACCAATTCAATCATTGCTCTATTATTTAAAGACAAATATTGCTATATGTCACCCATTTTCTGTGATCGTTTGGAATCACTATTTAAGTGGATATTCATAATTGATTCCTTGTTCATAAATAATTATTCTTGAAACTAAATAATATTTTTTCATTTCTTAATGATATGAAATGGTGGTAAAACAAATAATATACAATAGAGAAGGATTTGAATGTTGTTTACAATTGATTATTTATTCTCAAGTTTGGGTTAGGTAGTTGGGCTTGGTGACTGTGTTCACTTTTTAATTATTATTAAATTAGTAGTTAATTTGATGTAATACTTTTTATATTTGTGAATAGTTATTGTTTATTGAAACTTTGTTTTCTATTGTTAACTATACCAATTAGGTAGCCACTGATCTATACAAATGGATGGCGTTAATCGTTCTTCTAAGAGGCCGCTTGGAACTTAGGTTTTTAGTATTTTTTTTACTCTTAATTTTTTTATGAGATAAAAAAAATTAATGTATTTGGAATGATTTTTTTAATTAAATAGATAGCTGTGCAAAAAAAAAAATTGATTGATTAATTTGTATGATTTGACATTTTACTAATAGAGTTGAATTTGAAATTTGAAATTTTTTTTTGACTTTCTAATTTTTTTTAAACCAAAAAATCTCTTACCAAACAGAGCTAAGGGTGGCGTGCCTTAATAAAATGCATCATTATTCACACATAAGCATTAGCGTATGAGGTAGGTTTGAAAATTTGGATTCTGTTTTGTTTGATTTTTAAAATTTTATTTTTAATTTTTTTAGTAATTTTTTTTCACATTTTAATTTTTTTAACTTTTAAATGTACTTAATCTAAATACTTAATTTTTTTTACAATTACTAAAATATAAAAAAAAAAGTTTATGAAAAAAAATAAAATAAAATAAAATAAATATATGTGTGATTTTTGCATTCTTTTGCACCAAATGTGAATGGGACCATGGATTAGAGTGAGTGCAAGTGGAGTACCGTGAGACAGGCATGGATGGACGAAGTTGGTGAGAAAGTGAGACCTTTAAAATAAAATTTTCAAATGTAAATTGTTTTTATTGCGATTCATTTACTCATATGGAATATTTGGATACCAACAATGCTATATCTATTTGAAATTTTATTAACAAGTCTATTAAAAGCATCTATGTCCACATATTATTAGACGTAAAAATATTATTGTTATTTTCACAATCAATCACATTTAATCATTTGTATTTTTAATAAATTTTTTAGTAAAATTATTGGTATGGGATAGAATCATTCATTTGGATACACCACGGTCCATGGCATGGTAAGGCCAACAAAAAATAGGGAAAAGAAGATAGGGTGTTTGGTAACATAATTTAGTACTTAGAATTGAATATATTAAGGCGGTGTTTGGCAAGTTGGGTTTGGGGGATTTGTTGGCTAAAATCCATAAAAGAATCCAATCATCTTTCTAAACATAAATATTTTAGCCTACTAAAATAGTCAAAAACTAAAATAGCCTACTAAAATAACCAACTTTCCAAACGAGGCCTAAGTATTAATCAATTAAATCCGTTTGACAAATATAATTGATATCACTTAAAAATTTAAGTCTCTCTTAAAATATTGGCTAAAACTTAAAAAAAAAAATTGAAGTCATTTAAAACTTACTTAATTCTAACTGAATTTATAAATATTAAATATAAATATCAATATACACTATTATAAATTCACCACCCCTATCACCATCGCTACTGCTATTACTGCCACCATCACCACGATGCCACTGCCACTACCGCTACCACTACCACCACTACTACTGTTATCACTACCACCAATCCACCACCATGCCACCACCGCCACTACAACCACAACCACCACCATCATGGCAACACTACTACTATCATCGCTACTACTACCATCGCTACTACCACCACCACCACCACCACCACTACCACCACCACCACATTCATTATCATTGTCATTGTTGCCATAAATGTCATCATCGTTTTACTATCACTATTATCGTTACCACCACCACCAGCACCACCACCATTATAATATAAAAATTGAAATATACAATTTAAAAATAATAAATTTCAAATTTGATTTACATATCAAACAATTTGTTTTTGAAAAATGTTTGGTAGCTCAAAATTTTGTGGCTCAAATGGCTCAAATCTGTCAAAACGATGTCGTTTTACACTCAAAATCTGTCAAAACGACGGCGTTTTGAGCCATTTGAGCCACAAAATTTTGAGCTACCTAGCATTGTTGTTTATTTTTAATTTAGCACTTAAATTTTTATCAAGCAACTTTTTAGCTTAAAAAATTCAGTATTTAGTTTTCAATATTTAATTTTCAATTTTCAATTTTCAATTTTCAGTCTTCAGTTTTTAGTTTTCAATTTTATCAAACACCACCTTAACTCACATATAAAAATGATTTTTAAATTTTTCTTGTTTTTTGATTATAAAAATAGATATGTAGATAGGCATACTAATTCATTGTAAGTAAGAAAATATTCACAAGACATAATTACTCGCTTGGAATGATACCCACTTTGGTAGGTTTCAACCACTATGGGCATGGAGAGATTATAAATAATGGTTAGGAGTTAGAGATGTTGTTGGGGGTCTTTGTGGGCTTATCACAAGGATCACCTCGATAATTGAAACTGTTTATATTAAAGAGCTCACAAAATATATTATTCTTGTAAAAATTAAATTATTTAAATAGCCTTGAGTAAATGTTTAGATCACATTTGTCATTAAAAAATAAATGTCAACTATAATTTTGATCATGAACCATTTATTATTTTGAAGACAAATGTAATATAATAATATATTTACAATATGCTGATCAATTCGATTTTTTTTATAAGAATGATTTTCTCAGCGGACCTTTGAATGTGAGCAACTCAAATTATTGAAATAAATCCCGTGGTGAGACTATGTAGGCCCAACAACACCTCTAGCAATAGTGGGAAGAAAAAATATAAGACCTTTGGGTTTGAATATTTTTTATATCTCATATGTTTATAATCACACATAGTATAGTAGATTTCTTTTTGACCTATTGATTTATGATTTTTCCTTGGAAGCAAGCGCAAGGAGATTTAAGGAGTAACAGCACAACATAGCTAATTAATTACCAAAGCTTGTATGGAGTTTTGCCACATTTCCTATTTTATCACCCTCAATTACACTTCTGATTAGGTGAAACAATATTGAATAAAGAAAAAAAAAATTGAAGAGAATTGATTAGTTGATATTATTTGCTATTTCATTAGAGATGCAATTGGGGGTGATAAAATCGGAGAATAGGACATTTTTGAGCTTGTATGTGTCTTGACAATAAATTCTTTTGCACCAAATGTGAAAGGGATCTTTTGAGGGCATGCGAATGGAGGGAGTTGCTACAAAGATGGGGTGGAGAAGCAATGGACAAAATGAATGGAATGGAATCATATTAAACAACATTTTCAGCAATTAAAAATAGTCTATGTCATTGGTGTGGATCATATGTATATGTATATATATACATATATTATTTTTTTTAAAAGCTATTAAGTTTTATTAAATAATAAAAAAGGAGATTGATTTCTTCCTTGTGTCCTTTTTTATTTTTTATTTTTTAATTGGACGATGTAGAGTTGCAAATGAATAGAATCTGTTCATGAATAGATTCGAGCTCGACTCAGTAAAGACTCTTTTAAACTCAGTTCGTGAAAATTTTATTGCATTTGAGTTACAACTCATTAAAATCTTAATAAATAAGTCCAAACATATTAAAACTCAACTCGTTAGCTTGGTCATTAGTTGGTTCATTTAATATTTATTTAAATAATAGAATAAATATACTATTTATAAATTAAATAACGTAAAAATATGTATGAACAATAGGATAAATATGGTGGTTGTGGATATCATTATTTTAATAAGATATTAACTTTTCTTTAGTATGTTTATAATAACATAAAAATATGTATGAATAATAGGATAAATATGGTGGTTGTAGATATCATTATTTTAGTAAGATATTGACTTTTCTTTAGTATGTTTATATATATATATATATATATATATTATATAATTAATTTTTTAATCTTATATGCATGTATGAATTTATAATTTTTTTGGCTCGTTAAAGTTTGTGAACATGCTTGAGCTCGAGTCAGAATCAAATCTAAATAAACTCAGCTCGAACTCTATTTGTTAAATTTCTATTGAGTTCACATTCGAGTTCAAACATGTTAAAATCTTAATAAATAAGTTTAAACATATTAAAACGTAACTCGATTCAGTTCGGTTCATTTGCAGCCTAAACGTACATAAAGTTTATGAGCCCAACATCCTATAACATTCAAATAATTTCATGGAAGCAGTATTATGTTTAAGTTGAGAGACTAGTCTCGTATAATTTTATTCTAATAATTAATCCATTCTCAAAACCCAACCAAACTAGTCTCCAATAATTTTTAACCGTTGATTTATAGATTTGACTAATATTTAGAATATTGGATCGGGCCGAAAAGCCGGCACAAACACAGTTCTGCCAAAAAAAATTTATAAATTAATGTTAAACTTTATAGGCTTTAATAATTAAAATGTTATATTTTTTAATGATTTGTAAAAAATTTCCCCCACTCCACTTACAAGTAATTTTCCCTTTTGTTGGTAAAATAGATGGTTGAATCAGTTGAGCTTAAACACGCATAATCAGATGCTGAAAAAAATAGTCTGCTAGGATCAAAGTTGACACCTCAAGCATGAAAGTACCATTGCTTTGCACCACACCAGCAATATACTCCTTGTAAACATATATCTAGGAATGAGAAGATTATGATCTAATTATATTTCTCTCCATCTGATTTTAATATTAAAA